ATCATAAAGGAAAAAGAAGAACTTGGACAGTACGTATATGAAAAAGAAAGAAGGAAAATCACGCATCTAATACACAAAGATATAGAAAAATGAGAATCGAGACTTATGATCTGACAAGGTCATAACATCAACTGCATTTCTTTGAGGATTACAGTATATTTCAGCAAATTGTTGTTCTGCTTCGACTACAGGCTCATGACTGGGATAAGCTCGATTATTGAAATACACTTGAATATTGATATACACTTGAAGGAGCACACCGTCCAAATTCAACTTTGACGCTGATTGCGCGATGATCAGTTATCTCGTAGAGATATACCGTCAGTATGACTAACAGAAATTACCATACCAGGAAAAAATTCGAATTTTGTCATTTTTACATGAAGACTGGACATACAGTAAGATACAGGAGACATTTGGTTGTAGTCGGCATGCTGTGAACCTGGCAAAAGATTTACGGTTGTCCACAACTACACCTTTACACTTAGAACCAAAAAACTGCGTTATACGCTCACGTATCTCGCCAACATTAACGAAACACTTTATTACTTGGCTGGTAGAAACCGAAATGTTGATGTCTGTACCGTGGGGACATGGAGAACTTGAACTGGACAGCGGTGAAATTCTTACCCTCCCAAAACAAGTTCTCCAAGCAAAAAGAAGTCACGTTATTGATCAATACAAATGGCATTGCGAAGAAGTGAAGTTTACACCACTGAAAGATCGAAAACTATTTTATATTGTTGAAAATTTGAACGCATCCGAACAAAAAGTTCTATCCGGTTTAGATGATTTTGCTGCGGCAGCGCGAGACGCCTCTGAAAAATTAGAATTTATTTGTCAAAGGTTGCTCATATCGTCAGCCGAACGTAAAAGATTGAATTTAACGCGTGCACACTAGCTAAATACTGTTGAATGTGTGCAAATGCGTTATTTTTCAAACTTATATGGGACTGGAAATTAATTCTAACGCACTCAAACGCGCTTTTACAAGAAAAATATGAAAACGACGTTCAAACTCGTTAATTACAAAAATTTTATAACCCTAACGCGTTACGTAAGCGGCTTAACGCGTTAGAACCGCGTTAAATGTTTCATATTCGGTGATTCTAACGAGCTAGATTAGTAGTGCGTGATAACGCTTCCATAATCGTTCAAACTCGTTAAAAATTGAACAAGTTAGCTTCTTGGATGCGTTTACACTCGTTAGAATAATACTTCGGATCAATGTAATTTTAACGCGTTATAGTGCGTGTTTGTTGTTAATTATTGATGTTGAAGATTTGGAATTAGTGTCAGTAGACGCAGATGTCATTGTTATTGTAGACGGAGAAGATAGCGTAGAGTTATTACTTGTCGAAGAAGCGATCACATCATTGCGATCGCATGACCGGTAGTGCGAACATGCGTAAGAGAGCATTTGTGGATGCTGATATAAAAACCGCTATGGAATACTGTGGTGGCATAAAAAACCTTTCGATTGTGGTCGCTGAAAATGATCATACCGCAGTTATTACTGAAAAAGCTCTAGTACCGGAAATCAGTTCTATTAGAAGCATCCGGTACATTCCGAATGGTATGGTACTTCGAAAAGCCTCTAGCATCAGGAATGAATTTTTTATTTCGTATTCTAATCCAACAGTCAAATTAAATATGAAGCTTATCGAATCGTTTGAACCGGCACCGACAACTATAAGTGGAAGATTAAACGATAATAACTAGAATTTAAAACCACGAAAAGACCGTCAATATAATACTTATTACTTCTGCCCAGTTGATAATTGTACGAAAGTGATTCTGGCTGAAAATGAAGTGCTTGAACATATTGCTGCTGGTCTCCACGAGGAAGAAAGTGCCACCGATCAAACATCAGACGCCAGTAGCCGATTTGATTATCTGCTCAGTCACTGATGTACTGCTGGAGGGTCGAACACGTTTACGCTTTCGTTTTTGACTCAAAATAACTTCTTCTTCATCGTCATCATCAACGTCCGAAACTGATAACGGGGTACGTTTGTTCAAACCAGTAACGGCAAGCAACATATTTTTGTTGGCTATTTGATGATGAATCAAAAGCTGATGCTGCTACTGAGATAGAAGATTGTGTTGATGGAGAGACATGTGACTGTGCATGAACCGGTTGTTGCCGAAGAATTAGAGTCTTGCTAACGAACATTCTCATCAGAAGGAGATCTGACTACTTACTATTGTAAACTGACTGAACGTTTGTTTGACAAACGACTGTCTTGCCTCTTCAGTTGGAACTAAACCATCATGTGTTGTTATATAATGAAATTTATCAGACGGTTGAGGAACAAGACAGAGAGGATCTTTAACTCGTTGGCTGGCAACACTATGATGAGGAGAAGAGAAACACTCGGGTTGTTTATGTATATAAGATTTTTCTAGATCATACCTTTTAGCTGCTTGCTGAAGAAATATAAACTCGCTTACGAGATGAACTTTGCGTGATTATTTGATGATAGTCACATAGTATATCTTGTAGTATTTTTTCGTACATAATTTGAAATTGCAGAAGGTGAATTTCTTACGGAATCCACCAGACCGAGAACAACTTCTCTTTCAAGATCATCCACTTTTCGGCAAGTGTGTCGTTTCTGCTGTGCATTCATTGTGAACACTTGCTGATTGCGAATAGATACTAGAACATTAAAGTAGTGCAAATACAGACGATGTCTTTCTATCAAGATGAGGAAGCAAAACAACTCTTTCCTTTCGCTTTTTTCGCACATGCAAACGCCATAACGTATCACACAGCAAAAATACCTATATTTGAACACGTACATACGTAAATAAGAGAAAAAGAGCGTATTTTGTCTAATTTACTTTGGGCAATACTTTAGACTGATTTCTGTTTTTAAACCAAATCGTTTCTATATTTTTCTTTTTTGTATATCTGTTGTACCATAATGAATCAAATTCGAAGAAAACAATTACAGCTTTTTCGTCTTAGTGCACAAGTCGTATTATTTACATATTTTACTCTTATACGTTTATCCATACTGTTAAGACTGATTGATTGCAAAGAATTAACAATGATGATATTGGAAACGTCATATCTCATTGAACTTTTTCCTTCGTTAAGACGCTTTACAATTTATAATCTAACAATGCCATATGATCGCTTTGAATGTCGGTCATTAACTGATTTATACTCCGAATTGGCAGTTACGCTTCGGCGTTTTTGTGACCTAACTGGTATTACATGTGAAGCGTTCAATGATATCTATCAAGACTTCCTGAAAAAAACAATTGCGAAGCTATGTTTCATTTAAAAGCATATTCATACTCAAAGACATAATGCAAACATTCTATTGCTGTTGTTAATTTGGCTTAGAAAATACCCGGGAAATAGTTTATTGAGTGTTATGTTTAAAGTATCATCTTTTAAGATTTCACGTCATCTCCGATTTTCTCTACCAATTCTGGTCAGAACTATTCGATGAATGATCATTTGGCCAAATCATAATGAGCTGACAGATTTAATTGTGTTTAACCCAATATTGTGACATTATGTAGGTGCCGTTGATGGGACAAGACATCGAATAAATAGACCACGTGCGTAGATAATGAAGGACATCTTCTCTGAATGATAGTAAACGATTTTTCTCTTCTTGTAGAGAGATTTCAACGTGTCTTTTATTCCGGAAAAACCAAAACACACTGTCTTGCATCTACATACGTTATATCAATCAATCGTCGACTCATATACTTTAAATCAGGATTTCTTCGTTCCGTTCACGACAGTAAAATGCTATCAACATGTGGGATCGGTCCCAATCAAAACTATACAATTCCTTTTTCTTTATGAATGGGCAAAAATTTTAGTACGCATAATAAAGTAACAGCAGTAGTTTCCATTTTATTGAAATACATATAATTAAATTAAAACGAAATATTTCAACGTTTCGAACTTTAAAAGTTCA